CCCCAAAACCCCAAAACCCCAAAACCCCATAATCTAAAAGTAAAAAGAGAAGTTAATTAGTATATTGAATAAATGGATCAGGGTTATTTCATCATCATCTGAATAAAACAAATATATAGTAATAATGTAAAATTTATATTCTAATAATAGGAATTCAATCAAACCCTTATCTTACCATAGAAAATGATCAAGATTAAGCTTACTCTATCTACACGAGAGGATACCTGGAACAGAATTTATTAACTTTTGTGCTACTGAACCTAATTATCTTTAAGATGACTTGATAATTTTATCGATTGAAAAAAACAAGAGAATGTCATGTCTTAACTGCTTTATTATTGGAGAACCAAATAGTAATCAATATGCAGGTTAGATAGCTTGAAAAAATGATAGATAAATTTGCTTAGTTTTATAAGCTAACTTAAGAATAGCAATGCTGATGAGAGATATCTACTCTGAGTAATAGAGTACCATTTTTACTGTCTGTAGTTATCGAGCAGGATTAACTTGGGTAGCCAAAATACTACTACATCTTTTCAAATGATCTTGATCTTTGATAGTACTTAACTAAAATTAGCACCCCTTAGGATGTATCTAGTGCTATCTGGGAATATGTAGATTATTGGGTAAGTGGAGTTTGGATTTCCTCATTCTATTGAATCGGCTTTTGAGAAAAGAATAGTTAGATATCAAGGAGATATATACGATATTTATGTTTGGGGGGATTCAGAATATTTTATTGGAAGACTAACTCCTACTTGAAGTATCTGATGATACGTTTTTGCAATAAGCATATAGATTGTGATTATAGGACCCCTGAGTCACATAAGTCTGAAACTGGAAGGACCCATTAGTATCTTCAGGTACAACTGGACTTATTAAAGGATTGGTTGAAACAGTGTTCGTGCATTGTTCTATAAATTGTAGACTATAGTGTGATGAGTCTTTTTACTCCTACCAGCTTTAGAACTGAAGGGTCTGCTGATCTATGAGAAGTTACTGAAATATCTAGCGGAGGGGATACCTATTTGAATAAAGATGCTAGAACCGCAAAAATAAGCAATAATTGATGCACCTGGATCGAAAAAAGTGCCGGAAATGGTTCTTGGGAAGGATTCATTAAAACCTAGTTCAAGGAGTAACATTCATCTATTATTTAATAAGGCCCCTTTGTCATCTTTAAACCGTAATGATGATGATTTTAAATATTAAACTAATAAATCTATTTAAAAACTTTACTTTCATTTACAAAGAGTAGGTTAGGGGTTTTGGGGTTTTGGGGTTTTGGGG